ACCATTTAGTGTTTGATCAACCGTGAGCTGCTGGTCATATAGTCTCTTCAATTCGAAATAAAAACTACAAATTTACCTGACGCAATAAGATATACGTTGTTAAGATATAAGTTGTCCTATAACACTAGCATTTTACATTTTCTTGCTTCGAAAATTTAAGTAATAATGTCTTACTATTTTATAACTTTGTATTTTAAGAATTTCATTTCTTGTCTTACGAACATATTCTTAAAGTAAGAAAATCGTATTTTCTTATTTTAAGAAAATATTTTCTTATTAAGAAAGTAAGAAAATCGTATTTTCTTATTTTAAGAAAATGTTTTCTTATTAAGAAAATTTTTTCTTATTTTAAGAAAAAGATATCTTGGGATTCAAAAATTTCTTATTTCAAGAAAATTTTTTCTTACTAAGAAAATTGTTTTCTTATTTTAAGATTGTTTTCTTAAATTAAGAATTTTTTTTCTTAATAAGAAAATGATTTTTTGCTGTGCTATCATGCACAGGAAGGACCCCAGCCGAAATTGAGCACAAACTAAACGCTGACTTATCCAATGTTAACGACTGGTTAGAAGCAAATAGGTTGACATTGAACACAGACAAAACAGAATTTATGATAATAGCCTCAAAAAGAAAACTTAATCAATTTGGCACTGATATTCGTATACATATAAACGGATCCATTATTAAACAAGTTAAGCAAAAAAAACCCTTAGGTATTACAATTGATAACGAACTAAGGTGGACTGAACACATTAATGAGCAATGCAAAAAACTTTCAAGTGCAATAGCTCTGCTTAGAAAGGCAAAACCACACGTACCTTACAACGACTTACTCCGCATTTACAATTCCCTGGTAGTTCCTTACTTTACATACTGTTCGACAGTTTGGAACGATGGAAACAAAACAAATTTGGAAAAACTTTATAAATTACAAAAGCGAGCCGCTCGTATAATTACTGGATTAAACTATGAAACAAGATCAAAAACAATTCTCCAGAGTCTAGGTTGGCATCCAATAGATAACATTCTTAAAAAAAGAGAATTTCTAATTACGTTTAAGGCTATCCGAGGTATAGCGCAGGAGTGCATCTGTAATATGTTCTCCTACTGTGATAATAGAAGTCACCACATGCGGAGCAACGGGCGGAAACTAACTCTCGATAAACCTAATAGATCATTTATGAAAAAGTCATTTTCATATCGAGGAGCTTCCGCCTGGAACTCATTACCTAACGAAATCTTAGACGTTCACGAACAGTTGACGATACATTCTTTTAAAACTAAGCTCAACAATCACCTACGTTGATAAAATATCCAATTGTAAAGACTCCTACTCAATTACACTATTTTGTAAATACTTATACTATTTCGTAAATATTTATTTTGTACTTTCTTTTATGTAAACAACCCCTTTAAAAGCAGCGTAGGCTGAAGGGTTATTGTTTATAAATAAGTTTTAATAATAATAATAATAATAATAATAATATTAATGCAGCCTATAAAACTGCTTCTTTCAACTTTTGTTCGTTTATTTAATAATATAGACATTTCAAAATTCAAATGTTTCAATTCAATCAAAACACGAAACGCCTGCGAACAGGCTATGATGTTTACAATATCCAATCAGAATACGTAGTCTATCGAACCTATAGTCAGCAGCTAATCAACTCTTTGCTTTCACTTTTAAAAGTTATGTGTGGAATGTGAACCCGAAAACTACGCCAATTTCACCAGAGGGTTATTCAAAACAGGCGAAAATAAATACCCTCTGGTTCCAGGGTAACACAAAATATGATAAATATAACTAATTTGATCACTGACAAGATAAAAACAAGACTATAGATTCATGTCTCGCCGTTTATGTGCCAGACACTCTGCTGTTAGGGTTAGTGTCAACCTATGAAAAACATTGAAAAACAAAATCACAAAACATACCTCTTTACTTTATCAGATAAGCGACTTTAAGGCTTCAGGTTTGTTAAAATATTTAATGAATGATATATAATTTTCAATTTAAACAGAGGAACCTGAAGAGGTAAATTTGGATCTATAGGATTTGCCTATTTTTGGACTACTGGGAATATTGGATTTAATTACTGAGATTGGGAATGACGGACGAGACCAGGGGCGTGGCCAGTCCCAGCTAGGGGGGGTCCAATCGTCAAATACACAGAACCACTAGGGGAGCGGCCTCCTTGGGGCCTTTGCCTCCAAAAAATGTTCTATTCATATGGTGTGCTAGGCAGTTGCGATATATCGATATTTTCGATAAATATCGATATTCGATATTCAATTTTTCGCATATCGAAAATATCGAAGTTGTAACTAAACAACTTAATCTCCGATTATTCAGCAATTATTGTTTTCATCGGTGAAGTTTAGACAACGTGTGTATGGCGGCAATTGTGAATTTATGATATAAGTGCGTGGGCAATTGAATTTAAAAGCTGAGTTGGAGATTACGGATAAACCGTTGTTAATAAATCTTTGAGACGCACCATGACTGGTTTCATGCGCTTCTTTTTAACTGTTTGTGATACGTATACATGCATGCAAGTTGACTAAATTACGTGCCTTATTTGCATAATTTGATATAGTCGATATTATCGATATTCAGTTTTTTCCTAGGGACCCTCTGCCTACAATGGTCTTCGTATACTTGGATGGCTTACTTTTATAAGAAATGTCTCCAGTTATAACCAACTTACTAGTAACATCCGCGGATTCATGCGCATTCGTGGGTTCGATCCCCTGTTAGTACATGCAAGTATCGTTTGGATTGAACAAGATACTAATTCTACACTAGCTGAAGAAATAATATTATTCCTGGCTGGGTCAGCATCACAGCATGCGGCATATATCCTCTTTATCCTCTGACTGTATATATTTTATTATTAAAAAGCTCCTCCCTATATATTTTATCATAGACAATCCATTGTCTATGATTTCATATACCTTATTCAAGTTGCCACACAAAAGGTCAAATTTAATATGCTGTGTCAAAATGAATATCTTAATTCCGAAGAGATCTTGTCATAATAAAGGTATGTTATGCTTGACGGTTTCAAGTGTGGGTATGTCCAGGTAAAATGTCAGTTTGATGTTTTGAGTGGCAATTTGAATATTGCCCAAAATTTATAAAAAGCATAAAAAATTTGCGAGGAGAAAAAGCATTTATCAAACATTTGTTATTGAGGTACTGCAGATAAATGTTAACCAAAAACAGGGGGCAGGGCAACAATTCTATCGAGATTTTGGGCATCTAATTCTAATATAACTGAATGTAGGTATTGTCTTTGTAAATGCATTTTCGGAACTGGAACTACAGCCCCTCCGGCAGGAATTTAACTCGCAGGGCCGCTGCATGTCTATAGCAAAAGTTACAGTATATAAATTTTCGTTCAAAAATTCCATTTACAAATATTCCATCTATATACAGCTATTTCAATTAAGGTTGTCCCCGAACAAAGCGGAAATGTCGAATATGAGCGCGAAAAGCTTGCTGGAAATCGCTAAAAAATCATTTATTATGTACTGTTTAATAAACGCGTATGAGTGTTTTATCATATTTACAATGCGAGTGCGCAGCACGAGCATTTTAGTAATGATAAAACACAATTATACAAGTATTTTGAATAGCTTCAACCACGCGTACGACTACAATAGATGCAGTCTCATTAGTATTCTTTATATAAAGAATATTTATTAGGACATGGACTTTTATATAAAGAATACTAATGAAGATGAGTTTTATCAGGTATATAAGCCTCTTCACATGACAAATTATAGTTGACATGATTTCCCAATAAGCTTAATATGAATTATTAATAATAAGTGTTTGAAATTTATTTCATTAATTAATATACGTCAATATTTACTTAGTCTCATTGACATGCAAACTAAAATATATTATCCCCATGCAATAATTAATGTTAACATTATTGTCATGCATGCACTATTTGTACAAAATGGTCCAGCCATTTTCTAATACACACAAAATAAGTGTGCGGTTAAATAAAGTTGCAGGTAATAAAAATTAAAGCCCTGTTAATTATGCAACGATATTTCATTTTCTTTCTGTATGTAAGACGAAGATATACATGCAGAAGAGGTCAAAAACATTTCTTGTGAAACTTACTATCTGTTAGTTTGTTTCTTTCTTCACATACTGAACGTATGAGAACTAATATTCCTAAATCACTAAATGATTCATGAGCTGCATGGCGCAACGTAAATTGCACCTTATTGTTGTTTTGATGCGGTAAATTGCAATAATAGTCCGTGTGTTGTGACCTCGAAAAGTGCCTAGAAAACGATTTTCATTAAGCATGTCTTAGATCTGAAATATTTTTACGGGAACTAACACTTTCGAACACGCTGAGTTCAAATCCGAAAAGTTCCCACTCCGTAGACCCGCAGTTTTTTCACAAAATGCTATTTTATCTTCACTAATTTCACAACAAATTTTTCATTGTTCAACATCACGGATCGATGACGATACACGATTATGTCACTCAAAAGGACCAATTTCTATTAACCATTCTTCCTTTTAACAAAAGACCGGTTTTGCTCGAATCATTTTGAGTTATGTAATCTTATGCGTGTTGGACGTAAACAACATATCTTGTCTACAACTTTGAGAAGGTACAGATAATTCCTTCTAATATCCTTAGTTCTGGATATATTTCTATAAAATCACAAGGACGTTAATGTCAAGTCTTTGGGCTATGTCTCTGGGCTGAGAAATAATTCCTTACATGCGATCAAAATGTTTTATACAAAGATATAAAACGGTAATCTATATAATGGACCAGCACTGAAATTTCCAACACGGTTTCCAAGACGTAATTCAAGAGATAACTTATCATTGCATTTGAACTATTACATCAGTTGGTGTTATACTGTGCGATAAGCGAATATTATTGGAAAGAGGGCTTCTATATACGTCGAAATCATCAAATAAGCAGCTCATGCACACATTTCTCCACTTCGCGGTAAGTTTACAGAGCGTATTTTATACTTTGTGACTGATCTTTGTCTTTGATGTGAACATTTATTCTTATAGTTTAAGGTTATTTAAGATTGATCCTGTCGTAAGTCTTCTACCTGCAACCATTCGACAATATTTCGTTTTAGCGTTATCTTTGCCGTTACGTTGGCTTCGCGTTACTTTTGTTTTAAATATCTTGATCGCGTTAAAAGAGTTATTTTTCAGGCCAGTGACATAGCTAAAAGACATGACATTAACGTCATTGTGATTTTATAGAAATATCTCTAGAAATGAGGATTTTAGAAAGCGTTATCTGTACCTTCTCAAAGTTGTAGACAAGATATGTTGTTTACGTCCAACACGCATAAGATTACATAACTCAAAATGATTCGAGCAAAACCGATCTTTTGCATGTTACAAGGAAGAATGGTTAATAGAAATTGGTCATTTTGAGTGACATAATCGTGTATCGTCATCGACCCGTATCGTTGAACAATGAAAAAATTTGTTGTGAAATTAGTGAAGATAAAATAGCATTTTGTGAAAAAACTGCGGGTCTACGGAGTGGGAACTTTTCGGATTTGAACTCAGCGTGTTCGAAAGTGTTAGTTCCCGTAAACATATTTCAGATCTAAGACATGCTTAATGAAAGTGAACGATATCGGGTCACAACACACGGACTATAAAGCAATAAAGTCACACAAGAAGCCATTTTGAAAGCGTGGGCGTACAAGAAACACTGCAACACTATTAGTGAACAGGCCGAAAACAGTTTTATTTCTGAAATTTAATTGAACTGATATTCGGATATTTTGTTTTATTCATTAAAAATTTATACTAAAACAATTATTCGCCTCATGCTCAGTGATTACGGTGAATATTCACCTCGACTTCGTCTCGGTGAATATTCACCGGTAATCACTTCGCCTTCGGCGAATAATTGTTAAATATTGCAGTAAAGGCGTAATATGTAGCTTGTGCCTGATTGCGCTGATGTGATGATGATATTCTTCACTATAATTATGCGTTCGAATCCTATCTGTAAATCACCGCAAATTGAATAACTCTATAGAATATATTTAGGTTTTGTGCAAAGTTGTCCTCCATTACATGATGGACGGTTTTCGACGTTATGCGCACGCGCAAGTACAAGCTTGCGCTAAAAATATTTGTTGATGTATTTTACTTATTTTGGTATTTTAAAATACGTTTTTGCAATGTTTTTCGCTTTTAGTTAACTAGAAACAAGCCTGCAGTTTTATGAATTTGTGCTTGTCAACCGTGAAACAAAGTATGAAAGGCATAAGCACGAAGTTTGTCGAATGAACCTGATATTATTAATATATTTAATCGTTGTCTTGGCTATCTTTGGATTGTTTCAGTAAGTATTTTCAAATATTTCCCACGAAATATGTTTTTTTTATGTCACACCTGAACTAATTAGATAAGTCATCAGTAACAATTTAATTGTATTTAAAGTTAATCCCTGGCGCGCCTGTTGAAGTGGGAGGAAATTTAGAGCACTTGAAACTACGTAACAGCTATAGGGCCAAGATCAAAGTCGCCCTCTTGGTAATAAACCAAGATAACTTAGATATTTTGCAAGTTTCCAATATCAGTGGTCAAGTGAAAAACTCAGAATTTATCTTCAGCATCACTTTGGTCCTATTTTCGTTAGCGATACATTTCTTATTTACACAATCATTCTTTTACTTATTCTCTTCTAGCATGACTTTATCAAACACAAAGGTGCTGGTATTTGGTCGTTCTTTTGTGAAGCGTATGCATCCGTATTTAAGATCCCAATTCGATGTTCACGTTGCCCTAAATTTTAACATACACAATGAAGCTATCGAACTGCATGGTGTAGGGGGAGGGGGGGAGGGGGGAGCGGACTGTTGAAAAATTAGTTAAATTTGATTTCAACAGGGTTGCCCAGTTTCAGTCCAACATTGTTATTTTAGAGGTTGGGACAAATGACTTGGCAAACTCGAAACTGTGGGATCGAGAATTGACGATCTAGTGCGCATGATGCTCGGGCTTCCATCCGCCAGAGTCGTCGGCGTGTGTTTGGTAATCAATTGGACGTCTTCTCCAAAATTTAATGGGAATCTTTGAACCAGTATCTTACGGTTCGGTTGGAGACATAAAGGATTTACTCAGCCACCCATTTTACCTTTTCTGCCTGATGGCGTCCATTTCACCGGCGGAGCTCAGTATATTTTGTATAGAAGTTATCGGGGCGCCATCTTCAAGGCCATTCAGTTTCTTTCACGATGTACTTAGCACACAGATGGTCGCATTTTTTATTTTTATTTGATTTTTCTTATTTAAATACCATTAAATGCTTATGTTTAAAATATAATCTCACCCTTCATTGTGAGTCGAGGCTTCGCCCTCATTATTTTTTGTTATATATACGGATCGCACTTCGATGTGATCCCTGTTGAGGCTTCGCCCTCAAAAAATTTTTTATTTCAAAACCTCTCGCGTCGTCGAGATTCTGCGTCCACCGTTTTAGTGTGGCCAAGCTTGACACAGTCAGCTAAGATTCTCCTATTTATTGATCACGTCCTCGTTTCTTACACAATCTGCGTTCTGAGGGGAAACTAACTTCTAATCCATTTTGCAGTAATTAATATCTTTTTCAGTTCATTATGCCATCTCAAGGTTCTAACGCCCGTATTCTAAAAGCATTCACACACACACACACACACACACTCAATGAGTAGAGGTTCAATCTAAGCTTCTTTCGAGTGTCACTGCTGTTTTTGAGTAGCTGGAGAGCTAGTGTCGTACCTTACTATGTGACGGCTCAACCTAACGCTATTTAAAACAGCATTGACACTCGAGAAAAGCTCAGATTGAACCTCCACTCACTGAATGTGAGTGTGAGTGAGCTTTTAGAATAATGGCGTAAGAGTTCGAAACGCAAGTCGTCGCAATCTCGGGGGCATCCATCGCCGTCACGGCGACCTTGCGTGCAGACTCGTAGTTCGACCAATGCCTTAGAGCCAACCATTGCAACAACGAACTCAACCTTACTCAGCGTCGCCAGCACATCGGCAGCGCCTGATGCTGGTACCATCTCCCGGCAGCTTCTTCAGCAGATCGTGTCAACGGTTACTGCTGAAGTTACTCGGCGACTTACACCGCACCATCAAGCGGAGCTTTCGGACACTGTTGTTGAAGCCCCAGTTGTCGCGATGGGAGAATCCACCTCGACTGAACAACCCGCCATTGTTTCTGGTATTGTGGAAGAAGCCTTGCAGTCCGTGCATTCTCCCGATGCAGGTGAGCCTTCCTCTTATTCTGCGATGCCAAGTCAATCCTACGAATCGATCCATTTGCCTCTTGGTCCAGGATAACAACAAAATTAAAAAACAAAATTTGGAACGACGAATATATTTATTTTGGGTCTCTGCTGAGCAATTCGGGACGGTCGACAACAAATTTCAATAGAATGCAAAGACCTCTAATGATGGTCTTCATCCCTCTCTTTCGTTTGGGCCTGTCCACAAACCACAAAAGGTCGCCCATATCGCGACCTGGATGAGCGCTTTCCGAAATTTTGTTTGGGGGGGGGGGTACACCCAGAAGTATCCTCATAAGTCCCCCGCACACATGAAGTACGGCGATATTGTGCAAAACCTAGCAGATCGAGGCCATCCTTTGCGTTTTTACGATGAAAATTTTCGTTTTCTGAGACAGAAAGAACGCAGCGCGGTGCCTTGGGTCAATGAACAAGGGCAAATTTCGTTTTTAACAAATCAGAGCATTTGTTTACCTTTTGGCGCTAAGCCAATCAGAACGCGTACATTGTTACTACTTCCGGTTCAGACGCGTATTTCAACACGAAAATTACGGTTGTAAATAAAGCCTTGGGGAGTCTCGTTTTTTAAATTTTTTGGACTTATTTCAATGAAATCCTATAAAATTTAAAATTTGCCGCTGGGATTTGCGTTTCATCGCTTAGATTTGAAATTATCGGCATTCAAAAACGGCGTATGCAAGGTCACTCTCGAATAGGTCAAAAACGTGTTATGATTCTAAAGGAAGTGAAGCGAAGGCATATATCCGGAAATACTTAAAGAGTGGCTCGGGGCATTTGAGAAAGAAGGCATTTTCACTGCGATTTTGGAGTTACATTTTCTGGCAATCGGTCACTACACGACTATAATTTTGCCAGCAGTGGCCATATAGCACTAAAGCAAAGTAGAAGAATCGCCGTTTATGACTGCCTCGTTGGCCCACAGTTAATAGAGGACAGGGTTTGGAAGGCCGGCAAACTTCAAAGGCTTTCGAGCTAATTAATTTCAGATGTTGGAAAGGTACGTCACGTGACATTTCGGGTGCATCAAATTCAGAAATTACTATAGCGTAGTATTACAGAAATATGATATTGTGCTTATAAATTTTAAAGTAAGGCATTGTTATTCTTGTTATGGCTTCGACAAGTTCGGCATACGATTCAGAAAGCAAAATTCACCCAATTCTGGGTGCTGGAAACGCAGATGCAACGACGGAGGCGATGTTCATCAAACTATTAGCTGCTGCAAATCAACGCGGATGAATTAACTAAAGAAATATCGCGTTCAGTTGAAGAAGTAAGTCTTTTATACTGTGTCCAATTAAACAATATGTAGTGAGATGCCTTAGACTTGATATTTGACTTATATTTGTCGTTTAGATTAAAGGATTAAAGCAATTCCCGTGCGAATATCGACGCAGTATTAAGCACTCGACAAATTCTACAGCTAGTACTGCCAAAGGGAAGATAAAAATCCATGTTATATGACTTTATATCACGCATATGAGAAGGCTTTGTCGATCATTCGAGAGGTAGGGAAAAGGAAAGAATATTTTCATCCATGCAGAGAAGATAAAGTCGTGCTTTTGATGCTGCTGAATATGCCCGAACGGTTGACTTTGCTATTACCAGCAGATATTCTAAAGTTATTATAACACTGAAGAAACTGCATGCTTTAATACCAGTAAATATCTTAATACTGTATATATATAGACAATATACTGTAACCTAGATATGGATGTCTTAAATAGTAGGCCCTAAGGCTTATGTCCAATTGTCAATTACAAGTCCAGATATTGACCAATATACAGTGATTCAATGTCTACTAACATGTGATTTGTTACTTTTGATCATTCTGTCACATCAAAATAGAATGTTATTCCAAGATTCCATGATATTTCATGCCCATCCCACAGTTTCCAAGACCAAGTCTTATAATATATTAGACAAAGGAGATATCAAAGGAAATATCATACAGAGGAAATATCAAATTTTGATTTTTCCTCTGTATAGTACAATATTGACCTAAGGGTATTAAACTTAGTTCTTATTCCTCTCCAAATGCTTTGTAGACCAACTGTTGGATGCCAGAAGATTTTACCTATGTGCAAAGGATTATATACCCAGAAATACTTTTTAATGTTGGTATTCTGCTAGTAATTATCAGTGAAATCAGAAGAGTTTGTACCACCCAGCTTATGTTGCTGGGGAGGGGGCCGTTTCATGACTTAATGATATTGCCACGAAAGTGATTTTCAGTGGAGCCCTGATAAAAAAATAATAATAAAAAATAAATAAACAAAATAAAAGAATAAAAAGATATATCTATCAAAAGTGAATATATGAAAGGTTAAATTGTATAAAGTTCTTGCGCATCCTATCAGTTCTGTGGGGTGTCCTATGGCTATATAGCTAAATGTTTCTTTAGTTTAGTTTTAAAAATTTTAATTTGACGTATATTCTGGAGTTCCACATGCAGACTATTCCAGTCGTTGGCAGCATGGTAGCTGAATGCCTGCTTCTCCCAGTTTTCCTTCACGCGTTCCAAATGTATGTTCTGTTTGTTTCGAGTGTTGTAGCTGTGGATGTCAGAGTAGAACTTGAAATTAAATTTAAAATTGACGTCATTGTTTAAAGCCTTGTGCATGATTAGACAACGATGAAAGTGTCTACGTGTTTTTAACGGCTGCCAATTTAACGATAGTAGGGATTCTGAGGCTGTGTGAGAGTGGATGAGGGTCAAGAATGATTTTAGCGGCTTTGTTGTGCAGAACTTGAAGGTTGTTCATCATCAGGACAGAGTTGTTTTTATCACCCCACACAAAATCAGCGTAGTCAAAGATCGGCATGACAAGGCTGTTTACTAAAATACGACAAGATTCAACTGTTAGGAGGTGCTTAACTCTTCGTGTGATACCAAGACGTTGATTATCTTTGGTAAAGAGTGCTTCAATATAATCTGACCACGATAATGTCTGATTTAAGGTTATACCAAGATACTTAAATGATTCAACACGATTTAGTGGGCTATTAATAATAAGTAGATTTATATTTTGTAGTTTGGCAAGTTTGGCATTACTTCCGAAAACCATAAATTTGCATTTAGTAGTATTCAGTTTAAACGGTTAGCACCAAACCAACGAGATAAGTTCTGCAGGTCGGAGTTTAGCTTTTGTTCCAATTCAATCGTGGTTTTAGCTGAGCAAAATAGGACTGTATCATCTGCATACAGGGAAATGTCACAGCTGTTAACAGTGGAGGGAATTTCATTCACATAAATGAGAAACAGTAAAGGACCCAGTATACTTCCTTGGGGTACTCCGACATGTACTGGTTGAGTGGGCGACTGTTCAAGGCCAATAGAAGTGACTTGAAAACGATTAGAAAGATAAGAAGAAAACCAGTTGATTGTTGGCTCTGAAAAACCAATAGTACCAAGTTTCTGTATGAGACGATCGTGACTAACCGTGTCGAAGGCCTTCGAAAGATCTAAGAAAACTGCACCGGCGAGAGAACCTTTGTCTAAATTATCCAGAATGTTGTCAGTGAAGTAGGTGAGAGCAATTGCCGTGGAGAGTTTTGGGCGGAATCCAAATTGTTTCGGGGTTAGGATATTTTCACGAAGTAGAAAGCTATAGACTTGACTATGAACAGCTCTTTCAAGTATTTTGCTAGCATTAGTCTATAATTATTGGCATTGCATCGGTCGCCGGATTTGAATAATGCAGTTACTTTTCCACATTTCCAAACAGCTGGGAAGACGGAGGTTGCTAATGAGCGGGTGTAAAGTTTAGTCAGACTTGTTGTGATAACGTCAGCGGAGTCCTTTAGCAATCTGGCACTGATGTTGTTGAAAAAGTTATTAAGAATGTCCAAGCTCCTCCATTAGCAAAAAGTTTGTGGAATGACATTATTGAGCAATCTAATAGCATTGCAGTATCAAAAGAATGCCAGTACGTCCTTGTGTTTTGAGAACATTGGTAAACTGTACGGCTGTTAAGTTTCAAATTTTGCAATTTGTCGTGCTCCAACCCGATTTCTGGTTCTGAAAGCCCCTATTGTCAGCCAAAGCATGCACACCAAACAGGCTGGTCATTTCATTGTTTAACTGCCCCACACTCAAAGGGCACTTTTTGCATCTTCTAAAAACTTGGGGGCCTTAGCCCCCTGGTTCCTATGCCCCTGGTTGACAGCCAATTTCAGATGTGAATAGTGTACTTATTCACTATGTCAGTGTGCTCTGATTCTAGCCCTTGTCTCTCAAACCATGATAACTCAAAGTTGAGCCTACCAATGTCTTGTCTATTTGAAAAGAAACAAAATTTTGTGTAATAGTGATTTACTGTGCATATTAGTATAAATTTCTACAAATTATTCAACTAAGGTAATATATTGTTCTAGTCTTATTGTTCACCTATTATTTATAACCTGTTTTAATAATTATTTTATAACATATGTACAAATTATTGCATATTACTCTTTTGAAGCAGTGCTGTCATTAAGTTTACAAGTAGGTGGCCAAAAAATGATTGAACATTGAAGGCACATGACTCCTAGAAGGGTCTGGGTGCATGCCCCTAACCCTGAAATTTAAACAATTGGAAATGCCATTCCCTGCATTTGGGAA